GACGTCCATTTTGCCGTACTAGTGGGAGCGGTAAACGCTCTACCACTGAAACGATGCTTAAAACCACACAGACACAATACACTGGAGTCGCTTTTTACGCGGTTTTTTTTTACACGGTTTTTTTTTACGCGGTTTTTTTTTACGCGGATTTCGGAATTTACGCGGTTTTTTTTTACGCGGATTCCGGAATTTACGCGGTTTTTTTTTACGCGGATTTTGGTTTTTTTTTACGCGGATTTCAGAATTTACGCGGTATATCGCTTTTTACGCGGTTTTTTCTTCCACGGTTTTTTTTTTTACTCGGTTTTTTTTTACGCGGATTTCGGAATTTACGCGGTTTTTTTTTACGCGGATTCCGGAATTTACGCGGTTTTTTTTTACGCGGTTTTTTTTTACGCGGGACGTATCACCCGCGTAAAAAGCGACTCCAGTGTAAACAGAAAAAAACTACAAACACAGAAACACAAAATTAAATTTAACTGATGGGCGAGAGAAAGAAACAGGAAAAAAAAACTTATCTGCTATACTACTACCACCGAGTGATTACACAGCAGCAGCGGAGCGACGCGCAGCGTGGGTGACCTTCGATGCGCGTGTGCGGGCGATCTTTGTAGTGGTGTGCTTGTATTAGGCTCGGCACTCAGCTGGACACACGATGATGGATGACCGGTATAAATGCGGAGGCAGATGCTGACACTCGATGACGATGATCTGTGTGCAGGTATGCGTGATCACGCACCGATGGCAAAATGGTTGGCGAATTGACAATCGCAAAAACAATTTTCCTTCCGATGATGCCGAAAACACACTTTCTTCTCAGAAAAAAAAAACTCACTTTCAGATAATTGTTTAGCCGGGTACTATGCCAGTAATCACTAAGCGAGAAAAAACTGATAATTTAAACCAACCGAATACCGAGAAAACTTCCGAAATACCGGAGCGCGAAACAAGTCGACTGTACTTCTTGCTAGGTCGCAGTGGGATTGTATGGGGGTCTATTACTGGTTAATTTCTTACTCAGATTGATATTGGATTTTGAGGCCTTTGCACGGAATATCATGCTAACAAAACTCACCAGCTGCAAATCTCAACAAAATGTGGTGAGTTTCATGATTTTTGCTTTACACCCGAATGCAACCGAAACTTCCATAACGGCTGGCAGCAGTCACTTCGTGTCTGCCATCGGTGAAGAGTAAAAAGAGATAGCAAAGTATACTTTCTTTTTCTAAGAAAATGATGTGCAACGGAATCATTTTTGTGTCGAGTCAACTCTCAGCTTGATTTTTGCACGTTGTGAATAGTCTCGCAATATCAAAGGAGCTTGTAAAATCAATATCAAGCATGATATTTTGTTCCAATATCACGCGTGATATTGCGAGCGCATGAGAGCGGAAAAATATCAATTGGTTTCTGATTTTGCCAACACTGCTCGGGTTCATTAAACGATTTAGTATGCACTTTAATGATCCTTACACAATCAAAACACTGTACGTAGCATATGTGAGTGCTCTTCTTAAGTACCGTGGCGTAGTTTGGGTTCCATATAACGATACACATGTAAACCGTATTGAGTCTGTCCAAAAGCAGTTCTCGTTGTTTGCTCTAAGAAAGTTAGGTTGGACGAGTTTTCCGCTTCCATCTTATGACACGCGATGTATGTTAATACATTTAGATGAGCTCAAAAAGCGAAGTGAGTTTGCAAGTAAAGCAGTCATAAACGATGTTATTTAGCGCAAAAAAATTTTTATGTTCCTTACTCGCTCACTAAGAAATAGAAACTTATTTTATGTTAACAACCGAAGAACAAACTATGCCAAAAATGGACCATTAAATAGAATTATGTCTTGCTATAATGCATATTGCAAATCAATTGATTTGACAATGTGTAAAAGCACACTTAAAAAGACTTTCTAATAATATTATTTTCTCATAACATTCTATTTACGTAGGGGAAATGGCTCTAATGTTGGCCTATGGATCTAAGATTGGGCCCATCGCTAAAAATCTGCTGTTTATCAATTGTATCTACACTGAAACAAATCGACATGTACCGTTTATTAGATCCATCTTATAACATAGCAATGTCAGCAGATTTATTCATTCTATGTGATGATTGATAGATTCCATTGGATTATCACTTAAAAACTATGACTGCGATATGGAATGATTTCTATCGTAATTTCACATACTTAGTACTTGATAATACTTTGCTTCGAACGTGGTTAGCGAAGGTAAGAAGTATATGAATATTGTCTGATATATTTCATGGTGAAAAACTGTTGATATGTCATGGGTGGGAACAGACATCTAGAAACTAATGGAAAATCATATAAGTTTGCACTATGAGAAAATTCAGTAAAATATACCTGTTTTCATGATGAATATTGCTCACTAAAATATATATCTTATAAGATAATCATGTATATTTTATTGGAGTTGCTTTTACTGATTTTTGACGTTTGTTGATATGTCGCGTGTAAATAGACATGTAGAAACTATTGGACTGTCATTTAACTTTGCAGTATAGGAAAACATGTATATCTCATTGTAATAGCTTGCTTTGATTTTTGACGTTTAAAGATTGTAAACAGATCTATCCCAATCATTAAATAGTCATATAGAAATGCCTTTTAAGAAATCCAACTGCAAGTATTTGTTTTTGCATGTTTTTCTGGGATGAATATCGCTCCCAATAAAATACATCTTACATGATTGTTCTTTATAAATTATTGAAACAATTTTCAACGATGTTAACGTACACTCATTCATATGATAATTAGTTCCAGAAAAGAATGTATTGAGATTGAAAAAAAAATGATTCTACTGTAATATTTACTTTGCTATGATTCTAATTGTAAGCCTTCTACACGGCTAATTCAGATTCCAGCCCTAAGTAGTACTCGAACTTCATGAGCCAGTTCTATCAAATCATATAATTTAGTCGTTGATTTATTGCACACAGGTGCATTAAGAAAGATTTGAACAAACCACACCACCGAAACGGAACATAAATTTGTCAGTGCTATTTGTCTTCACTCTAGCAAAACGAGCATAAAGTTGCACTACATTCCATGTCGGGAGAGCTGTTCTTACTTCATGCTATTTGAACGAGCTCAATCTTGAAGTCAGCCGTGGCCCAGTGGAATCGAGCACAGACACCGAAAGCATCACACCTCAACAGATCTTGATCGAATCCCAAATCAGCTACAATAAAAAAAGGCACAACTGTGAAAGCTCCCACTGCCTGATGTTTATTTTTCGAATTTATTTTTAGAAATCGATTAAATATATGTGTCAAAAGAAAAAGTAAATTTCATGTTATTTTCACATAAACTTTACTTCGATTGATTTATGACACATATATTATATTGTGGTGAAAAGTATAGCTTAGGCTTATGGGTTTCAAATCCATTTCAGTTAATTATTATAATTTAATCGATTTTCATTTATCATATGACGATCATATAAAAGTTACCAAATTATCAACATTGTAAATGTATCAGATATTCATATAGAATTTACCTGACACATTTTCAACCATATCATTTTCAATGGATTATCTTATAGCGCAAATTTATTAGACTTCCACATAACAGGAATATGTCAAATTCGTTCAGTGTAGATGAACGCGTCATTGGGATGGTACTAATGGCTATTTTTGGTCACTATTGAAAGTATAGTCGATCGGTGAGCCCAATAAAGATCCATAGGCCAACATAAGAACCATTTCGCCTACACACTTTGTTTTTTTATCGGTAGGCATGGAAAATCATTTACATTCATTTGCCTCTAACCTTGAAAATCAACATAAATCTGTAGAATTATGCATTTAGTTTGTGTAGGTTTTGATATTAGCTACAACTTTTGTCAATAACTCAAATCCGTATCACTTATGCATGATGAAGAGCGAGAGCGATCTGAACCTACCATAGTTTTACAGAAAAAAAAATTACATTCACTGAAAAACAATAACAAGTTCTGCCCACTCTAGTTCATCATGCAAAAGAAATACGGATTTGAGGTACTGACAAAAGTTGTAGCTAATATCACAACCTACAAAAGCTTCATGTCTAATTTTACAGAATTTTATTGATTAAAAAAGTTGTAAATTCAGATCAAAGTTGAAAGCAGAAATAAACCACAGGTAACATACTTTGCGATTTGTATATATGTGACCATAAAACAGCAAATTCCACGCTGCACAAGAACGTTCCAAGTATCAATGTATCAATGAGTAGTATGTTAAGACTACAATTGTAGTGAATCAACCAAATGGGGACGTACCGTAATAATCCCGCCCAAACAAACTTTGTATAGTTCAGTCAACTGGAGTTAAGAGCTGACCCGTCCTTTTCCCGATGCCCTTTGTTCTATGTTTGTTGAAAAATGTGAAATCCAGTATGGAACAAAAAAACAGCTATGAATAGCAGGTAATTATGCTGTGCCATGACAATCGGCCCATGGATAAAACAAATGTGATATTCAAGCAGGTAAACGAGTGTCCAACTGAACCTCTGAATCTCACTTTTATCAACGATTCTACTTTAATTCCGCTCTCATCCACTTACCGAACACCAATTCCTAACCAATCCCCGGAATGGTAGCATTGACCTCGCGCGAGGCGCACCGACTGCGACTACCGGTATGCACTTATTTTTAGCATGCAATGCAGTCTCACTCCCCAACTTCTTTTACTTTTACGAGTGTGATAGTACCAAATGGTACATTGCTTATCTTCCTTTCTATGCAAACAAAACACGAATTTTCACCGGGAACTCCGAAGCCGTATGCCGGGCGGTAAACGATTAGGAATCCAATGCAGTCGGTTCGGTACATATCTACATTTAGGAGACTGGTGCAAAGATGATTTCGACACTAGGATTAAAATTTGCAATGCAGTCCAGCAATCGTCTGGAATATTCCCGAGAAATCAAATTTCGATGCAACATGAAGAGTAAATTTTCTAAGAATTGTTTTTCGTCTGCTTTTTCCAATTCCAGCCAAGACAGTCGTGACTCATCCTCGTCCAACTGGGACCTATCGAGCTCGTGCGATAGCTACTACTGTAACCAGGGACGCCACCACAGGATGGGTGCCGGGACGTACGCCACGGTGATGGGCTCCGGCCCGGGACTGCTCAGGAGACGTTACTCCGTACCTGAAATCATCATGAGAAAGTAAGTTGAATGGCTGAATTGTTTGCCGGGTATAAATACATTCAACGATCTTTGGCAACACTGCCGTCGTCCTCCGCAAAGCGAATAACGATCACGTGCTCTTGAGGCAATTCACTTTTTATCGTCCCGACATTCTAGAAGGGGGAAGATTCCTCAAACTATGCAATGTTATGCTCGATTTAATTGGCCCACTACTGATGGATAAAAATAAATAAACATACCCGGCTCGTATTCTCAGTCGTTCCCCGACAGCTGTTTTCGATCGATTTTACATGCAGAAGCTCACTAACAAAACAAGGACTGGAAATTGCGTCAGAAGGATGGCTTGAGATGTTTTATCGTTCAAATCGTAAGCTCACAAAAACGGATTTCGTTCTAGCAGAAAGGAGAATGGTATTTAGGAATGAGTTTTGTTCTTGGAAAGGCAAGATGTAAATGTGTTTTGTGGTAGTTTAACCGGAGGTTATGCAAACAGCTTCATCTGGAAAGATTAGGGTGGGTTAAGTTTCTGAGGTCCCCAATGGGAATATGTATGGGAAACGGAATGAAACTATCATTGGCGTAGCTAATGGGGGTGCCAAGGGGGCCAGGCCCCCTCCAGAATTATCTAGGCCCCCTAGGATTGTCGGTGTTTTTTGACGTAGGACTACGTCTGTGATTTCTATATGGGGGTACACTTTGTGAAAATCGAAAATGGAACATGAAACAAAATTGTGAAAGATTTTGAATGTTAATAACTCAGCTACCCCTGGTCCAATTTTAATAATTTTATCACCAATCGATCAGAAATATGGCTATGCATCGATAACAATGCATATCATATCGTATAGCATGCATATCGAATGTTGATTTTCAATAAGAAACTATTGAAAAAGTGGTAAATGTTCAGCATTGTCCAAAAGCGTCGAATTAATTAGCAAATCCACCAATTACATGCATATGCTGCTTCCCCAACACAGCCATCAGAAAGCATTCCTAGATGAAACATGTCGATGTAGCATCGGTAGTTCAGTGGTTACCGTTTCTGCTTACTGAGCAGAAGGTAGGGAGTTCACTCCCAGGCCTGTCCCCTTCCTTGCAATTTTTCACATTGCCTTATTCTATAGGGTAGAGCGCTACTTCGTCGTAATCGCCCATTTCCGTTCTATCGATTAGAAAAGATCAATAATAACAATGAATTCACCGTGCACAAATCAATAATAGGTTTGTTCCGATGCGTTAGTTCATTAGCTACAACATAAATCGTATTAGAGCGCATTGGATGAATATTTACGCTCATTGTCCTCAAAACAAAGGAAGCGCTCCTAGCGAATCCCCCTTTTCTACGTAGGACGAAGAAAATCTAATGGCGTTTCAATGCGTTAGGACGGAATTGAAACTCGTAGAACGAATTAAGAATCAAGAAGCAGTATTAGATTTTAAACAATATCTCAACAATTTGTGACTCTTTATCAAATCCAACGGTATGGAAAGGTGAGTAAATTTAAAAGTCATCATTGACAGAGATATTCTATTTTTTGTTCAAACCCGTTAAAAAAAGAGAGGTAAATCGCGGGTTGTGCTTAGTAGGACGGAAATTAGATCAAAAACCCTACCCACTGGATTTAAAAAAAAAACAAATTCTGCTTTAACCGATCGCATCACTAACCACAGTGAATCCTGATCTAAAAATAACCTACCTCGCTTACACTACTATCCTTCCCGAGATAGCCGTGGAGATGTAGAGGTATTCTCGGTCTCTAGTAACAACCGGACGTCGAACTAATCATCCTTCCCTCCCCCAAAAGACCGGGAGGACGTGGCCGGCGCTGTGAATTGATCTATAGATTGAATTAATGTGCTTGTACATTGAAGATGGAAAGCTTATCCCATGCACCCATCTATGTAGTTCTCTATGCAAGTGGATTAGTTGTTATCATTCACGGAGGAGCAACTACGAAGTGCACGGTCAGATAACGTTAACGCTTCTAAGCCCCTTACAGTCATCGTCATAGCATCGCACCGCTTTTAGTTCTAGGGCACTTGCTGGTTGCAATTTTTACGTCAGGATTCACTGTGATGCGATCAGTTGTAAGCAGCAGAAATTTCCTTCCCAACTCTCTTGTTAGATTTCGACGGAGGAATTAAGAGCGTTCACCACAAATACGAAGTGGCTCTGAATGTCCTTTGGCATAATTGTGACACGCTTGGCGTGGATGGCGAATAGACCGACCAGATAGGCCTCGCTGGATTCCTGTAGGGCCATTAACGGCCGAGCTCTGGAAGCGCAGATCGGTCTTGAAGTCCTAGGCGATTTCACGGACCAGACGCAGACCAGGCAACTTGCAGTCAGCAGCTCGGTCGATTTCTGGTAACGACGGATCTCACGCAGAGCGACAGTTCCTGGCCGGTAGCGATGAGACTTCTTCACTCCTCCGGTGGCTGGAGTGGCCTTGGTAGCCATCCGTTTGAGAGGAGCCTTTCCTCCGGTGGACTTACGAGCGGTCTGCTTGGTGCGGCCATTTTACGATGTGGATACGTTGAACGCAATCTGTTGAATAAAAATTTTCCTCTGATTTCCATAGACGAGTGCACGGATGGGTTTGAGTTCTCTCACTCGACAAAAAGTGGCACAACAGCGGGGCTCTGTTTACCAGAAATGAACACATGAATAATGCTCGCGTAACATTTGAAACGGGCCTATCAACTTTTGTACACAATACTCCCACGCAAACTAACAGCACCATCGGGTTGGGGAAATTCTCCCCTTCCCGATAGTGCTCTTGGTTTACGTGGACGTACTTCGGTTCTCGTGAAAAGGACCTAGAAAATTATTTACAAAAGTTGATAGGCCCTTTTCAAATGTTACGCGAGCATTATTCATGTGTTCATTTTTAGTAAACAGGGCCCCGCTGTTGTGTCTATTCTGTTTTATAACATGCTTTTGCTACGTTCAACCAATCATAAACGGTGGAAGAACAAGAACACAACAACAAGATGAATTTAACCCTCGAGTAGGTATAAAAAAGCCGAAAACTGGAATTTCTTGTCACATTCGTTTCAACCTTACCCGAAGAAACATCAGAAGCATAAACAATAACTGGACGTTGCAAGTGAGGCAAAGGACTCGGCAAAGGAGGAGCCAGTTGTGTTGCATGATAACTTACAGTGATGTCAAGCGTATCTCCGGTTTGATCTAAAACCCGAGTGTGCTCAAGGTAAGGTATTGCTGGAAAAACGTCATCCGTGGCGCTGTTACCTGAAGCGTCAGGGGCGCACCTGAGGTTAAGCTTCGTTCATTTTCCCTATCCGAAACGGCCCTGTTCAGGTCCACCAACTATTTTCAAAAGAGATTGTTTAGGAATTCTACTAGCGGGTGTTCAATAAAAAATGAGAATGATTTCAGTGCCATCCAGCGCTCTTGTGAGAGCATCGTGACTAAGTTGCGTCGTACGGCTGACCAGGGCTTCTGCTCCAATATTCATTGACGTTTTTTTTAAGAATAAACATTATGTTCTTAATAAAAAATACTGAATTCGTTGAAATATTTTTTTACTAGCTATATGACTGAAAAAATTCTCATTTTTTATTGAACACCCGTTAATCAAAAACCAAGCTTCTAATCCTGAAGCAACTGAGCTCTCTGAGTGCCCATTTCCGTAGCAATGAAGGCTAGCGCTGGCACTGGGTCAACCCGTGTCCAGCGTAGCCGTACAAAGAAGTATTTACATATGGTGATCTTATATGGTTGACACAGAACTGCCTTATTGCATTGAGAAGATAGAAATTCAAATAGCCAGAAAAGTTTTGTGACCCTGAAAAGGGCCGTTTGATTTGTCAGATGAGTTCAGATGAACACCGCATGGCTTTGCTGTTATCTCTGTGCAGATTGGCAACGATGATAAACGCCCTGAGCTAAGAGCTTGTTTGTTGTTTGGAAAGAATTTGTTCTCTCAACTCGCGTTGGTTCACCTCCATTTTCGTTGAATCGAAAAACACGACTTCGAGTTTGACAGCATGTACACAATACACATCAATGAGAAAGTGTGCAAAATTTGGTTGATTTTTACCCAATGGTAAAAAAGTTATGCCCTGTTGAATGGTCGCAATAATTTCGTGTTCGCCCTTTAGAACTCGAAAAGTGACAAAACTGGGCGATGGCTTAACGTGTAAGAGTTATACTTTTTACTGTCAAGGCGGACATTGCGAACGAAAATTAAGTCCACTCACGATCCATGTCCAGGTGCAAATATTTCTTCATGAACTCGACGAACTTCAAGTTCCCTTCGTTCATGCGGTCCATGTTAGAATTACCCAGTACAATCATGGGCAAACGACAAATCTGTACGATAGAAATAGAACAGAAAATCAAAATATAAAAATGAGGTAAGGAAAATAATTAAAGTATGGTTCAGATTAATACCTGGCTCAATAAAGATACACATTACCATTTATTATATAAGACCACGTAGTCCTACGTCACCATTGCGTACAACCCTATAGGGCTGTCCGTTGTAGTTTTTTTTTTACTCAGCGGTATTTTATCAAGCTTGTCAATTTTGCTGTTACTATTAAACAGCTATTAATAAAATTGGACCACAAACAAAGATTTTTTCAAAGTCCTTCATGTTGACTACTTTTCTTATGTTCTAGACGAGAAGCAACAATTGTGAGAAATTATATTATATCTTCAGGCTCTGCAAATTGGCCATGACCCCAGGGATTTTTCTTTAACTTCTGGGAACTTCATAAAATTTCAAGGACTTCTAAGAAGTTCAGGGAACATCCTAGAAATTGAGGAATCGTAGTAGAAATTCTGGGAACTTCATAGATCTTCACAAAAATTGGTAGAAATTTTGTTTGTGGAAAATCATCGAGAAACGTAGAAGTACAGCAAACTTTATAGAAGTTTTGCGAATTTCGTAGCATTTTTAGGAGCAGCGTAAAACTTCATATCAAGAGCAAATTTTCATTATGTCGTAAGTAACATTCGCACCAATCCGAGAAAAATAAAGTTTTGT